ACATTGCATGAATAAGTGAGGCAAACTTACACTAACTTGGTACAAACGAGAATGGAGGACACGATAAACGATTTCAGACTAGTACCAGCGAACCATGAGTGAGATAACGGTGGGGTAGGAGGGGATGTTTAAAAACCTTTTAAACTCTATAATGACTCTATTACTGGTCTATCATGTCAGTAGAACCACAACAACAAAGGAACCGCCTGACAAATTTCTTCGTCTGGCGCCAAAATGAACGACGAGGACGTGTGTGCCTCGGACTTTCCGGTTTCCGTACATAGCTGGTGACCTGCTGAAACTTTAGATTTGTCGTTGATCGCCACCCAATATCTGCAGCTGTCTCGCCAGCTAATTTGGTATGTATGGGGATGTTCGGCTCAGATACACAGAGCCTGCCGTCCAGAAAATCCTTGGAATCACAATTTTTCGACGGTTCCGGTCTTCGTAAATCATTAGTACGGTTAAACTTCAGGTTTGGCGTTGATCGCCACCTAATATCTGCAGCTGTCTCGCCAGCTAATTTTGGATATATGAGGATGTTCGGCTCAGATACACAGAGCCTGCCGTCCAGAAAATCCTTGGAATCACAATTTTTCGACGGTTCCGGTCTTCGTATATCATTGGTACGGTTAAACTTCAGGTTTGGCGTTGATCGCCACCCAATATCTGCAGCTGTCTCGCCAGCTAATTTTGGATTTATGGGGATGTTTGGCTCAGATACACAGAGCCTGCCGTCCAGAAAACCCTTGGAATCACAATTTTTCGACGGTTCCGGTCTTCGTATATCATTGGTGACCTGCTGAAACTTTAGATTTGGCGCTGATCGCCACCCAATATCTGCAGCAGTCTCGCCAGCTAATTTTGGATGTATGGGGATGTTCGGCTCAGATACACAGAACCTGCCGTCCAGAAAACCCTTGGAATCACAATTTTTCGACGGTTCCGGTCTTTGTATATCATTGGTACGGTTAAACTTCAGGTTTGGCGTTGATCGCCATCCAATATCTGTAGATTTGGCTGAGGAATTTTCACACATCGCAGCCATGTTAGGCATAGATACACATCTATATGACATATTTATTTGATAATATTATATAGGCACAATTAACGGAGAAGATAATACAGAAATACGTAGGAATGAAATTTATCCGTAATGAACACAAGAAATGAATATTGACAAGTGGTAACTATGCGACACAGATATGAATTGTAGATTTTTGAAACAACCACGTACATGGCAACGATATTTTTGTTGTTTGTGTAAATCTGAAAGTATCTAGATTTTTCAACATAATATGGGTACGATAATTATTTATTAAAATTTTGTTTTTTAGTTATACTGATCAAAAATACAAAACTAAAAGTTTTTTGTATTGTTTGAATAAATCTATGATTTGTAAATTTGGGAATAATACTACATAATGACCAAAGAAAATTAGAATATACAAATCTAAATTTTCCGGTTCGTGCACCTTTTATTCGAAGCAAGTTATGGATTTCGATACAAATCAAATTGGGTCACAACGATGTTAAAATGTTTTTAGTACAGCACAACTATTACGGAGAACGACTGTTGCGCCGCCGCTACTTTAAAGCTCTTCGATTTGCGGAGGATATAAAATTCTGAGAATCACACGACATAGTGATTATTGTAAGAAACACGATTTATCGGTTTATGTACACTATACAATATTATATTATGCTATTGTTATCATTATATTATTTCTATTAATGCCACAGAAGATGGAAACGCGGCGAATATTAACAACGTACAGGTTATGTAGCGGTGACAGGACATGATTACGAGATATAGGTGTCTTCTAGATAATTCAGTAATTAATTTTTCTTTATTGCATTTATGTATCCAACTTGTTGAGATAGTGGTAAAGTCGATATCTGGGAATTTAATGTTATCCTGATGGGGGGTTTAGACGGAATTTTGCATATGTGAAATTTATTATTAAATGTATTAGAAAAATAATATAATAATAAAAAAAAATGTTTATGGGTAATTTTGTCTAGATTTTTGTTAATTGAAAAGTTAATGAAAATTAATTAATTATTTTGGATTTTATTTATACTAAAACTAGCTGATCCCGTGCACTTCGTCGCCCGTTAAATGTATCAACTCAATATGACTCAAACTTTGTTCAATTCGTTATTCAATATTCGGTGTATGGTGTTCAAAATTTATTTTATCTTTTCCGTTGCCCGGAATAAAATTCTTAAATCGCAGCAGTACATTATCAGGTAGTAGATGCGGTAGATCGCGGACCCCGTGCTGTTTGTACGGAAGTGTATGACTTAACTCCAAAGTATCAAAGTTATACCAAGTTTATTTTGATATAATACGGTGGATTAATATAACAAATTTGGTTGCTCGTAAAAATCGCAACTCTTAAAAAAATTATGATTGTTGAACTCCTTTGGGTGTAACTTGCTGCGGTAAGTGCAACTCAGCCACCCTGGTAGGTAATGTTCAATAATTCGATTTGATGCAAGCTTGGGTGTATGTATTTTTGTATGTTGTATCTATTATTTTTTTTTTTTATATATATAACCAATACCTTAGCAACCATTTATAAACAATTATTTCTACCGTAAATTATAAAAATCCCTGTTTGAGCACTTCTTTATTTTTTTCTGACAACCTTATCACTTAGGGGTATGAAAAATAGATGTTAGCCGATTCTCATAACTACTGAATATGCACAAAAAATTTCATCAAAATCTGTCAAGCCATTTCGGAGGAGTATGGCAACGAAAACTGTGACACGAGAATTTTATATATTAGATAAAAATGTGACGAATAGTTATTTGTATAAGTATTGTTTGATTATGATTTGAATTCTTCTGATGAATTATATCTATATATATTTTATATTAAGTAATTATGTTTATTTGTTAATTCTTTTAAGGTTTTAATTATTAGAATCTCGTAATAAATATTTGTATAATAATTCATGTATAATATATAATTATAATATTTTTTTTGATTTAATAATGCAAGTATGAATTGTTATACAATTATATATTCGTACTAGGTATACATTTTTACTTAGTGATTAAATTATAGTTAATTAAATTATTCGAAAAAAAAAATTTTGTTGATGTTAAGGTGTGAATGATATATTATAATTTATTAAATGATTAAATTTTTCGTTTTACTGGAAAAGGGGAAATTTTAGTTTGTTTTTTTATTATAATAACTAATAATACCTAATGTATACTGTATATTGACATATTGTATTATATGTAAAAATAACATAGATATATATTTTTAAATAGTTTAAAATGTTGTGTTAAAATTATTTTATATTGGCTTTTAGGTTAAGTTATTAATAAATAAATTTTGTTTTACCTAAAAGAAAATTGGATCTTAGTTTTCTTTCTTTTTTTTTTAAATGAATAATATAGGTATTTACTATAAAAATTCAATTGTAAAATTATTATTAATATAATATAATATATTATAAATAAGATGTTACTTTAATTTAATAGAATAATTTTATGAATGTACCCTATATATATTTTTTTTTTTTTAAGTTTAAGAAAAAAAAAATTTGTTAGCTTACCTATATAATTATGTTTTATTATTAAATAAGTAATTTTTGTAAGCTTATAAACCTTTTAATTTTAATTTTAGTTATTATTGTTTTTCTAAGTTTTATCTTTAATAGTTGTTGTATTGATAATTTTTTTTAGCATAAAATATTTATTTTTAAATTTAATAATAAAATATTAAAATCTTATATAGCTAATATAATTTTGTAAAATGTATTTGATCAATTCTCAGTTTTTTTATCTGAATAAACTGAACTTTTTTTTTTTTTTATTGAACGTAAGCCCGGCACTGTGGCCATTGCTGTTATGGTTTGTTTGTAGGTGTATTGTATTGTTGGTTGTAGTAGGGGGGGAACACGTGTGTGTATTAACTGAACTTTTGTTGGGCGCCACTTTGTAATAAGTCAAAAATTACGATATAAAATAAAAACGACGCCTGTCGATAAATATTTTAAATCGTAACACTAAGCAATTACCTTTTCCAGGTGCTCGGAGGGCTCTTGAGATCGTGTTTTCGAGAATTAGATCAAATACACTATACAACACAATTGTATATAAAACATGCACAGATAATAATATAATAAATGCAATTAATATAAAATATTATATTAATTGCCTTACCTGATCCGCAGTCGTTTGTGAATTATCTTGTAAGGGTTTTAATAGACACAGAGTAATATTTTTAAAATTATAAATCGAAATAAAAAACGCACTGATTATTGCTCACATAAGGAGTCCAGAGTGTCGTTCGTTGAAATCGGTTTTTTTAGACTTTTTTGGGAGGTTGTTACTCGGTGAATGGTGCTCATGCACTGATTTAAGGGATGACGCGAAGATGCTGACCAGAGAGTGGTAGGCGGCTTTATCAAAAGGTTATAGTGAGCTTGGGAACTAGGTTATTCTTTGGCGGCAGATACCCTTTTTTCCTTTCCTTTTCTCTGGCGGCATCATATAATAAAGTCACACACCCTGCGTTTTACCGTTATGAGTGCGTGCCGATATCTTAGTTGTGGTTAATAATGGTTTTATTTGATGTGACCGATTTCTACAAACGACAGTCTGGCCGTTATTTATTAGGTATTCTGTAAGATTTTAGTTTGTTATAATGGTGTGTGAGCATATCATTACAGTATTCAATTTAAACAGTTTCTGGAAACTCCGGGCGCGAATGGACATTAATTTTACATGTGAACCAATTTTTGATATACGTACAATTTTACTTTACATATTATTATTAAAAACCTCGATTTATCATTTATAAGAATAAGTGTTACAATGGATTCTTTACATGTACTTATATTATCTACATATAGTTATTTATATAAAAACAAAATGGCATATGAAAACAATCGATGGTACATAATAACTATTTACAATAAGCAATACATTATATTGTAAATTATATAAATTACAATATTTACACTACAAATATTTTATGAGTCATCAAATTCAGATTCAGAATCATCAGAGATGTTGCCTTTTATGGTTACAAAATGTACAGCATTGGGTTCCGTGAGTTCCGCTTCCAAAAATTCCTCGGTGATGAAGTCGATTTCAAAGAATTTATCTTCTTCTTTGATGAAGTATTTATACAATTTTTTCCACATCTCAGGTGTAACTAGTTCTACACCTTCATGTAGTAGTTTTTGTACATCTGGTAATTTGAATGTCGTGTTATTTGTTTTGACATGGCGTTTTACAAAGGCCCATACTAACTCGATCGGATTTAACTCGGAATGATATGGAGGTAGCCTAAGTACTATTTTATTATTTTCTTTTGCTAATTCATCAATTACGTACTTTTCGCAAACTGGTCGAAATTGTTCTGCCTCCTCTAACAGTTGATGTTTAACCATTGGTCGATGAATTAACTTTCCCTTATCTTCCAACCATTTAATAATTTTACCTTTTTCCCACGAAATGAGGGGAAACGTATCTTTTTTGACCGAATGGTACGATGCAGTATCCATAACGATCACTGCGTTGTCTTCCAACAACGATATAATGCTACTAAACCATTCGTAAAATGTAACATCATTTATTTCGTCATGATAATCACTAGAATTGTTTTTTGATTCAAAATACCGAAGACCACCAGCAACAAACCCATCAGACGATCCTATGTGGACAACAATTAATTGTTTTCCTTTACCTGATAGATTCTTTTGTCCAGATTGAATCGTGGCATCGACTGATTTAGCAGATTCTTCTATGTTTATCCAAGATTCATCAAGGTAATAAATTTGACGACCATGGCTACGATAATATCTAATAGATTCCAAGTATTTTTGTCTCCAGCAGACTATATCACCTCTTTCGGTTAAAGCAAAATTTCGTTTTATTTTAGTGTATTCGAAATTTAAGTCTTTTAATAATAGTTGCAAAGATGAACGCGAAAAATTCGATAAGTTAGGATCGTCATTGATTGATGTCATTATTTTTTCAAAAGTTGGAAATTCTTTTCGATGCCAAAACTCGTGTATTTTTCGTCGAATAGCATTTTTGTCAAATTCATTAACTTTTTCAGTTAACTTAGGTCTTACTTTTTTTCTATTAGGAGAAGTAATCGTACCTCTTCGCTTGTATTCAGATAAAGTCATTGAAATTGTGCGTTGACCAATACCGGTTTCTTGTGACATCAATTTTATGAGGTCTATGTATTTAAGGTGTCGTTGATCTGGGAGTGAGGCTTGCTCTGTCATTTTTGATATGTACAAATTGATAATCTTTTGTCTCTGTTCACAACCAACAAACTGGAAAAAAATGTTTGATATTGGTACATATACTGCATAGGTACATTATGATTTCATGTATAAGTACCTACAAATTACAATATAAAATATGTGTAATTATTGCAGATTGAAGTTTATACATTACTGTGGATGGAATAAGAAAAAATGTTGACGGATCAATAACTATAATAATTCAATATTTTATAATGTTTTGATAGAAAAATAACCGTTATATTACGTGAAAATAAACAGTTTCGTCTTTTATTCTGAAGATCAGAATCGTTTTACTGAAGAAATGATATATTGTTTACTTAAAATGTACCTAATACATACATCAACTATAGTGCGTTTCATAACAACTGCGACTCGACGCTTACGCGCCTCGTGGTGTTTTTTCATTAGGGTTTCTAAAACAAGTGCGTAAAATGTGCGGCAAATTTAAAATTGATAATATCTTACAAATTTTTTCTATCCTAGTTTGAAAACCCATGGTTTGAGACAAAACCACCACGAAGCGCGTTAGCGTCGAGTCGTAGTTTCTATAAAACGCACTATAGTAGCCGAAGAGCGAAGTATACCTATGGTGCGATATTTTCAGTATTTACATAATATTGTTATCAAAAAATAATAATCAATTGTGCTCACCTTTCCACGGGGATTTTTTTTGACTGGTACGACAGCATTAAACTTTTCTTCCATTCTATAAACAAATTGAACACAAAAGAAAAGCAATGAATATAAACTATAAAATTGTAACACAGTCATACAGAATACAATAGTTACAGAGCGTAACAGAAAAACGTTATCCCTCAGTAGTTTCAAGTTTGTTTACAAATTGTATTATCAATGGGCATTGAGTACGAGTAGCACACGACGCGACGGCGCATAGTTCGGTTGACGGCAATGACAGCCGAACAGGCACTACGTGAGATGATTTGACTAAAAAATAACCCCGGAAAAAAGTATAAAATATTTGTAATTACCCTCTCATTATTTTCACTGTGGTTATCCAACTGTCTCGAAAATATCTAAACTATCCATAACTATTCAAAAATAAATTAAATCAAATGCTTAGCGAAATATATAATAATATACGAAAGAACACTGTTGTACACCACTGTATAGTACCGAATACAGAGAAATGAACACACACAAAATTGACAAACTTAATAAATTACAGCTTTTATAATATTATCAGATTATCAGAACATTAAAGATAAAGTTATTTGTACCTTTCTTATCCGTTATAATATGTCACTGTACCTAGTTATTGTATATCTGATCGATATATTATGACTGTCAGACCATGCTCTGAATTGTTTTTATCGTGGATATATACAATAATTAATCATTGAATCCAAAATTAATATTGTACGTAGGTATAATAGCTAATAGGTATATTATACATTTTGTATTGATTTGAAATTAATTTACAAGATCTCATATTATGGCCTATGGGGTTATTTTGTCGGTGGTTATTTTTTCGAGGTACCACGTGAGATACGTGGTAGGAGATTTACTACGACTTTTTTTGGTCGCCAACATAGACTGAAAACGACATGGTGGGCGGGTGACGGCCCGCAAAAGATTTCTCAGTTATCATCAAGGGTATAGATGATACCATCTGAAATTGTGGATATCATCACAACTTATTTTTCAATATTTTCAGCACTTCCGGTGGTTTCGTTTGTAGTCACATTTTGTATCTTATACCGCGTTTTTACAAATGACGCTCTAAACTCTCAACAAATATTGTGACCCCCGCATTTGCCTCTTGGACATACTTTAGGGAACAACTTTATGTCTTTATCTGTGCCTATCTGTTAGGTTTTATCATTTGAATAAATACATTTGGTTATCAGTTAGCGAACATTAGGTTTTATTTTGTTTTTCATTTAATTCAGAGCTTATACCCGTTCCCAAATATAAATTTTTTTAAAACCAGTAACCGGTTATCTTTAAATTTTGATATTATGTTAACCGGTAACCGTTTCTTTAAAGATATTTCAAACACTTTGATAAAGTTTAAAAACCGTTGATAAGGTTATTTGAGAAAAATGCCGCCCAGTGGCCGAGAATCGAACCGGCGACGGCTAAGCCGCAACCGACGCCTTAGACCACTCGGCGACCGCCTCGTCCCCCGGTATCATATTTTTTAAAACAGTTTAATTAGGAAGTAGGACAGTTTGTTTTGTGGGTTAGTAACATAACTATTATTATAACAAAATCAAAAACTTAATAATATGCTTTATTTTGGTTGATTTCACTCAATTTCAATATTTATTTTTACAAACTGGTTTAAAGTTTAAACTTTAAAACATATGATCAAAATAATTTCTATCTTAAAAAAATCAAAAAACTAAATTGCATACAATTTTTTCATTTATAACTGTAAAACCGCAATTATATATAATAATTTTCCAAGATGACACTAAGAATGATACACTGACACAGAACTTTTTGGTTATATTGTATAATATATTACAGTAGTTACCCCAAAACCTGGGTGTGTAGATCGAGCATTCTACGCTAGCCTACGATAGTCGAAAGACACGATATTATAATAACTATGGATAGATCTCAGACTTTATTCTTGATTAAAATATCGTAAATAGTACTAAATACTAAATCGTAAATTATACTAAATAGACAAGCCCCTATTCCACCAACTATTTCGTAATAGGGAATCAGCGCACGACGACGACGTTTATGACGGTATTTATAATATATAGATATACCTATGTATACTATATGATTATATGAATCATATAATAATATGATATTCACAACAGGTAAGCAATACTGGACAACAATTAATTAGGGCAAATAATTTAAAAATAGCTGGAAAACAATATTCAACTATTTACTATGAGAATATAGTCATTCAAGTATTAAATACCACGAAAAAACCATTAATTATTTTGGTCGGGAATATGTTTTGACTTTTTTTGACTTTAGATTATAAAACCGTGATTGAAAATACGAGGTAACCTCTTTGATGTTAATATTTAGATATTTACATTGGATTACGATAACTAATAATCGCTTCCAGCATTTCAAAACTAAAAGCGGTTTTCGTTACAAGTCGGTTACCGGTTTTAAGCCCTGATTTAATTATTAAAAGTTATTGGTTAGTGCTATCAAAAAAACGAAAACACTACGACACAGATAAAAGTTCTTCCCTATGCGTTGTGGGATTTTGGAAATTCTACTATAAACACAGGGGGAGTAAAGTTGTCCCGCGCAGAACAGTTTTTTTCATGTTGTACATTTGTAAGATGCAGACAACACATGCGGGTGTGACGTCATCTTACAAATTAAGATCCACAAGGGATAAGTCCATAAACATTAAGGTGGTATAATATTTTATTAGTACATAAGTACATTTCTACTAGAACCACGTGATAGCTGCGAATGGTTAAGATATTGGTGATTGGAATGCTTAACCTAACCAACATCGAACTCAGACTATGCAGATTGAATGGATTTGGGAATTAGGGACAGACACAGTAAATGACTTCATAGGCGGTACATTATAGAGGAATTGCGGAATGAAAATCCCCGGCAAAAAACATCCCCAGACTACGATATTAATCGGTAGGCGGGAAAAAATCTAACAGAAAAAAAAGCCCAGAAATATAAATATAAATGTGAACACATTAGTATACTGTACTCGGTATGACGGTATGTTATTATGCACCTACTATTATTGTATTATGCTTTTTCGAGCTATTATTGTTGTAATATTACAGTCGAAAATTGACTGACGTTTATGATTATTATCTGCTCTCTAAATATATTAAATTACCTCCGGTTTTGTAATTTTTGTATACATTTTAGTATGTATATACCTGGTATATACATACTGAAATGTATACAAAAATTAGGTCCTAAGGCTTATGTTTTTTGATTTATAAATTATTGTACTATGTATATACCTAAGACTGATGTTTTTTGATTAATAACTTATAACACAATAAATTATGACGTATACATAATATTGTGTTCATATTTACATTTTTATTTGATTAACAATCTATATTTTATACAATTAATAATTAATTATTAATTTCATTATAATACATAATATATTAATATATTATTATATTTTGTTATAGGTATATGGTAATTAGTAATTACTAATTAGGTCATTAGGAGTAGAGTATACATGTGTTCACATTTCTATTTCTATTTCAGGGCTTTTTTTCCGCGATTCATATTACTCATAATCACATGCAAATGGTTGAACAAATATTTTTTAAACGTTAAATAGTATCTATAATAATCACATTATTAATATGTAATTACAAATACGTATATTATACTATATTATTTAATCATTCAAAAAATTACTATAAATAATTTTCGAAAAATTAACATTACTATATTATATCATTCAAACAATGAATATATATATAATATTATCGTAATTTAAAACAAAATAATAAATCGTATGATAATATACGTATTTGTAATTAAATATTAATAACGTGGTAATTATAGATACTATATTATAATTAATGATTAAAAAATGTTTGATCAACTATTTGCATGTGGTTGTGAGTAATATAGTATAGTAGCCTGGGGATTTTCTTCATGGGGACAGGGATTTTTTTTCCTGGGTATTATTATTCCGAACCATTGTAGAGATAAGAAACGAAATGTGATGGGATAATAAAGTACACGGGTTCAAACGGTAATATGTTGTAAAATTAATTGTATCTCATTAGTCAATAATCAATACTAATAGCCGACGGTCTGTACGCTGTATGAAATAATTAAGGCACTTCCAGAAAATAATATTATCTTAGTTCAAAATCTTTAAGGGCCCTTCCTCTCATTATCACATTTATTACTCTTGCATTGTACCTAATAGTGTAAACTTTATTCCTTATATTATGCAAGATTATAACTATAATCAAATGTCCTTACTCAATAGAAATATACAATGCATAATATGTGATATGTCATATGTAGGTACTTAAATGTCATGTGTTTTAAATTATAATATTATAACATAGTCTTATTAATTCAAACCTGATTATGGCTATGTCCATGTTTTCAATTACCTATATGTAGGTAAGTAAAAATATTGAATAAATGTAATGTACCTATATAATATTAACGCTATGAAATATGGGTGTATTACCTAATTTTTTATATGTATTATTATTCCAATAATAATCGATTGCACATTATTCATGAACACTACAATCCTAACGTAAGAACGGAAATTGACAATGATCGTTCTCAGTGTAGAAAAAAATACGAATGTGTACAAATAAAGCTATTATTTAATATCCTTTGTGGTGGACAATCAAACAAAATTTAGCAAACACGACCGAATCACAAAATATACGTTACTAATCACTATGTTACTATAATACATTTCACTCGGCACAAATGCACAATGCTGCAGTATGCACTATTGCGGTAAAAACGATTAAAGACGACTTGTGGTAGGTAGGTTTAACAACTAGAAACAAGTCACATCGTGATAGCGTAGTGCACAGTGATCTGATTTATTATCGTTTTCGTTGTTGTTGTTGGCGTCGTCGTAAACTCGTAAACACTAAATACAACAGACGACTGACGGTGGTATCGGAATATTAATAAAGCGCATACTGTGTATACAACACAGAGTACAGACAGACTGTATGGGCGAGACTGCGCGGCAACAACGACCGTGGGGCGCGAACCGCGGTGACGGATCGTCCGCGATCGGACGGGTTTTATAAACTGTTTTGGCAACACTGGCAGTTTTATGGGATGACGGATCTGTAGCGGCGGCGGCGGTGGCGGCAGCAGCAGCAGCAGCAGCAGGTTTATCCTTTCGTGCGTTGTCGTCGTTTGCAAAACAATAAAATGGCCGTTCGATTTTTGTTGTTTGTGTACGCACGCACACAGGCACACGCAGATGGCGAGGGGGGTGGCGCGCGCGCTCGCACACACACGCGCCCGCCAGTTACATTACTTCGGCGCCGTGCGATAGCGATAGCGCACGCACGCACACACTTACACACGCACGGTCGGGCGCGAGCAACTCGCACACGCACACGGGCGCTCACACACACGCGCGCGCGCGCACACAAACACACACACACACACACTCACGCTCATCATCAATTATGTGGCCGTGCCGCCGACGACGGATAATGTAGTAGTGCCCGAAATACGTATCGTGCGTCGTTGTGTTTATTGTGAATATCATGTTATGTTGTTGTTATCGGCCACGCTAATTGCCGTCCGTGTATCGTTGTACGACGGCGATGTTATTGTCCGAGCTACAGCGACATTAGTGCCGCGCGCCGCCATCGAATTATCGCGATCGTCGCCGTCGTTGTTGTTATTATTATTATTATTATTATTATGTAACGGAATCGGATCGCCGGACACTGCTGCTGGCGTCGTGCGCGAAACGGTAAGAGTGCGAAATAATATCACTGTTCGCCGCAAGACCCGAACGAAAATTAATCACAACCTTTGCATTGACGACAACAATAAGTAATAAAAACAAACAGTAATAGGCATAGGGGTACCGTAAAAACAAAAACAATAACAACGATAGTAATAATAAACGTACCTATACGCCGTCGAGCCTATTAATAACATACTAGGTAATAATGTAATACAATAATTGGACGTTATATTATTATTATCGCTACGACGTGTGTGCGCACCTCTTCTGCAGACTGCAAGTCGCACCGGTTTATTGTGCACTCGCGCGGCTCTTTGATCCCGACCACCGGACAAACGTATCTCGCGCGCACTTCGTTACGTGTTCGGGAGTTAATACTCTCCGGCCGGCCGTTTTTGTTTTGTCAACAACGACGCCGCTGATAGTGTACGTGATCCTGTCACATCGTTATTCGATTACAAACCTTAAATCGCAGTTGTTCGTGACCGCCGTTGCTCGTAGATCACGACATTCGATCGTTTTTGACGTAAACTAAAAAAAAACGTTATTCGAATTTTTGGCACCAGCGGTCTGGACGGTTGTTTGATGAGCCTTGGCCATAGATTCGATACCCAAATCGCGATCGACCAGGAAGTCGGAAGTGCGAATCGTGCGGACGCCCTAATCGCCTTATTGCACGTCTGCGTGATCCCTCTTGAGGTTGCGACGAAAATTCGTTTCTTTTTCTGCCTTAGATGCTAGTCATGCTAGTTGTCAATCGTTATTACTACGTTTTTTTCAACTGTAGATCTACCATGATTTCTGTACGATAATAATTTATAATTGTCACCCAGTCCTCTTAAAACATTTTTCTTTTCTGTTATATGTATGTATCATGTTTATGCAACTTTCAAAGCAGTCTCATATTTTCAACTGTCCATTCACAGCTTGAATTCTGCTTTGAACTGAAAATATTTCTGATTTTACTATCATGATAATATAGGTTGTGGCTAATCAAATGTTTAAATTGTATCTTTCATTAAACAATATACTAATCTTGGAATGATCTTGAATTATTTCTTAAAGAGAGTAGCTGAAATGCCAAATATTTGTATTACATAGATGTAGGTAGGTGCTCAAAGTTTTAATAATTTATATCAATTTCTACCGACCAAGTTTATCTATAGGACGTACTCATGGATTGATATAGGTAGTTCTAAATGTGTTTGTTTTTCTTTGAAATTAGCAATCAAATAAAACTAATTTTATGTTATGTATTTTTAATTATATATAATAATGAATACCTTTAAACTTTAGGTAGTTGACAGGATTCAACGAAAAAATAAATCCAACTAAAATTCAATTCTAGGTGGCTAAAGCGTAATTGAATGTATGGTGTGTGCTGCAGACTGGAAGGCACCGTGGATTCTATACCACAGGGCCTATTAGACGGCCGCCCTGCCAGTTCAGTGCTTCTCACTCATCACCAGGTATTTAAATATTTGTCCTTTAAATATGATAAAAAAAAAAACATATTAGGTACCTATAATGTTGTAAATTTGAATTTTCATGCAGTATCAACAATTACAACACATACAAGCACAACAAGAACAAGCTGCTGCAGGAGGATTAACATTAACACTTCATCATCAAACTACAGTAAATGTTTTGAACATTTAACAATTATTATAGTTTTGTTTCATACCTAACAATTGTTAATTATGTTTTCAGGGTACAGGAAATAATGGCGTACTCACAGGAGGACCTCAACTAGTTCTTGCAAGTTCGCAGGGACAAGGAATAACCACTTTTCCAACTGTAACCACTCAACAAGGTACAACATTACATCACCATACGAGTTTTCAACAAGTGCTGCATCAACATGTTCAGCACTCAAACATTCTTCACTCAACAAGCATACGACAGGTAAATAATATATAAAAATTAATGCATTATGTTGTATCAGTGGCATCTGTCCTTGAAAATCTAAATATCGCTTAAGACTTACCAGCCTGGCAGCCTATTACTCTGCTCCATTTGCAGGAATTGTCCATATATGTCTACAAAAACGATTTTGATACTTAAAATGGTAAACGCTATTTTTTACTTGAAAACTGTTATTCAAATGATTCTTCAATCACTGAGTAATGATAGTTAGCTTATGATTTTAGGTATTCAGTTTAACATTATAATATAATTAATAAAATATAAATTCATAATTGTATGAATATGTATATTAAAATATGTACCCCTTCTTAGTTTTGATTAATTAACAATGAAATAATATAATTTTAAAGATGGGTGCCCAACAGCACACATCTGGTACAATGGTTCAACAACAACAGGCTACGGCAATATTGGATACCACAAACACAAAATGTATACCTCAATCACCTTCATCACCATTCTCTTCTCGATCACTTACTCCCTCTCCTCAGCAGAGGGTTATTACACCCCAACCACAAGTTATCCATCAGGTAATTACTGTTGTCAAATAATTAATTAATAAAAATATTACATTTCTAATTAAATTTTGAATTTTCTTTTTTTTGCACAGGTGATGAGTGCTAATGGGCCGGTTTTACAATTTATTCAATCAAATAGTCGAAATAATGTAAATAATGTTCAAGTAAAAAATAAACCGCCCCAAATATTACCTAAACCTAATAATCATATACAGAACCATGCTAGTATTAACAGCATTAAGTCACAACAAACACATCATTCAACCTCTATACATAGTCAACAACAAGGTGCTTTCTTGATAAATCAAGTAGGTTTTTATCTTATTAATTATAAAATTTTTTTTTATGTTAGGTAATTTAAAGAAAATTATTGTATTTTTTATTTGTTTTATAATTTAATACAATATACTTGCCCAAATTAATAACTTTTGTACTTAATACAACAATATTTTGTATTTTTATTAAAATTAGATTATGCCAACTGCTGGTGTAATAGTCGGTCCTCAAACAACTAGTGGCCTTCAGCTTTTTCTCAGATCCCCCAATACTCAAAACCATAATACCCAACAAGCTCAAGTCACTTGCAATGGTACTCAAATTTTACTTCAACAACAACCTAGACAACAGTCGAACCAGGTTAGTAATAATGTAATTTTATAATGTAAAGGAATATTTATAACTATTATAATACTTTTTAATTTATATAACTTTTTTAATATTAGGTTGTGAGGTTAGTAAGTGGCCAAAGTGTTCAATTACAGCAAATCCAAACATGTTCTGGTCCAGCTTTAGTTGCACTATCGCCTCAATCCACTATCACACAGTCATCAAATAATAGGTCCATGAATATTAAAAAAAAGAAACCAAAAATGCATTCAAGGCCACACGATGATGAACCTGTACGATTAGACCTTGCAAATCTAATCAAACTATCTGGTTAGTTTTGAAAACAAATACATTTTTTATATTTTTTTTTTTTTTTTTTTTTTATTAATTTTATCCCGCGGCAACTTAGGCCATTGGGAGAGGGGTTGGTACTGTAGGTTATTTAACGGTAGGGGGTGTTACACGCGGATGTATTTTGGCAGAATTTTGAATGGGGCACCCGTAGGTTTCTGCCATGCCCCGGGGTGGGGGATGGCGGCACTTGTTTTCCGGACACCGTGACTTGCCCGGAGAAAAATGCCGCCCAGTGGCCGGGAGTCGAACCCGCGACTGCCAGCGCCGCAGACGACGCGTTAGACCGCTCGGCCACCTCGTCCCCCCTTTTTTTTTTATATTATAACTAATGTATTACTGATTTTGTTTAGGAATTGATGAAGAAGAATCTGGTACACCTACAATGCAACAAAATCAATTAAATCAAAATAATAGAATACAGCAAACTCCAACCCCCCCTCCACAATCTCATCAACAATCTGCACCTTTATTAGCTCAATTGCAAACGCCTACTTCTTCATCTCAAGTAAATGTTCAGTGTGTTTGGTTATTATTTTGAAATATAAATTTAATTAATTCCTTAATTAATGTTACAGGGAGGTTTTCGTTTGTCTTTAGTAGAAGATGGGCGTATGATTGTACATCAACCACAGATGACCACTAATACACTAACTCAGGTAATTCGGAATATTATACTATTTGTTACTGTGAATGTTAATACTGACAGTTCATTCCTTCCTAAACTTTGTAACACTCCGAGGTATAAGTTGTGTATTCCACACCTAACCTTATTTTTACTAACTAATATCCGATACAAATTGTATACGTGGGCTCCACTATAGTCAGCGGATGTGTCAATTCATTACTCTTAATTTTATATTACCATTTTGTATTCTTATGCAATGATCAACTATTCATTTATTTTTGGTTATTAATATTTTAATTAGCTCGATTAATATTGGTTTTAATTTATAGAATGTTTCTGCAAGTGTTGCTGCTGCAGCTCAATCACAGTTAGCTCAGTTAGTTGCTGATCATGGTGGTCACATTCTTCAAAATGCTGTTCTGAGTGTGGCTGGTTCCGAATCATTACTTCTCAAAGGAGGCAATGCAACGTTACCCACCCAACCACAAAATGGTTCTGGCATGCGTATTTTGGCGGATGTTTCTGGTCGTCTTCAAATTGTAACTGTATTAGAACCCCAATCATTACAACAAAATATTATTAATGGCCAACATTTGATGTTCCCCACTGCTGGTACTCCTGTAAGTGTTGAAAATCGACAAAATCATCAGCAATTTGTCATGTCAACACCAGTAGAAGATCAACAAAATAAAGTAATGCAGCAAAATAATAGTATTCGAGTAATGCATAGCAGTAGTACAATGGTGTCAAGCTTAGACCATCAACAAAATAGTAGCATTCAACTTGTTTCTAACATGATGGATAGTCGGCTGTTAGTAGCACCTAATAATGATTCTTCAAGAAATAATGATATTTTATTTAATGAAGAACAAAACCGATTGCAAATAGTAACTAATTCTTCTACAATGAATAAAAATGTAGAGTTACAAAATCAATCGCCAATAATTCATACTTCAGAAAGAGTGATGCAAACTTCAATATCAAGGTCTAAAACCGTACCAGTATCTTCACATAGTCCTAGAAATATTCAATCTGTGATAAGTCCTCAATGTAGTCCAGCTATGTCTCATAGCTCTAGAAGCAATTCAAAGAGCCCTGCCTCCTATAATTCTCCTATACCATCCCCAAATGTTTCTCAGTCATTTACTCCAATGTTGCCAAATCGGCCAAATTTAACAATTGTAACGTCACCCCAACAAAGCAACATGCAGTTTTCAAAACCATGTGCTGCCGTTATATCACAATCAAATGATAATCACATGACATTGTCTAATTACCAAACATCTGTAATTAATAGAACAAATAACAGAAGTCCATTAGCGGTTCCATCAAAAATATTTAGGCCAAGTAGTCCACCTAAAGCTTCTGTTCCACTAGAAGTTCAATCTCAAAATGCGTTTTTAGATAGTATTGCCCAATCTCATCCAAATATATTGATCAATAAGACTATGGTTGTCCCACCATGTGCAAATAAAGCACCGATTAAACCAAGAAAAGTAAAAAGAGCTGCTGTTGTGAAACCAATGGTATTTCAATGTGATGAAAAAGAGAAAGAACACCATGATACACCAGTTCCATTGAATTCCCCAGAAAGTAGTATTTCAAATCAAAGGGTAAAAACCATACAACTTACACCACAAAAACAACAGGTTTGTCAATAATTTTAAGTTGTATATAACTTCAAATAATAAATATTATTTTTGCCACTTTTCAGTTGTTAAAAGCAGTTCAAAATCAAATATCTGCTTTGAGCGCAAAAAAATACCGCACAAGTAGTGAGCAAACTGCTTTACAAAGATTGTTTAATGAGCAACAGAAAATTTTACAATGTGGCAAAATTGTTCCTACTGTTTCTGGGCAAAATTCACAAGGAATTACCTATGTAAGAAATAAATAATTTATTTATGTGCAATAAAATGTAAAATATTTTAATATAATATATTTTTAGGTATCTACACCTGTAAGATTGGTGCCTCCACCTTGTCAAATGGCTTCAAGTCCACCTCATACCTTGTCACCTCCTCTTACAGTGCAAACCTCAACTATTGCATCTCCTCCAACTAGTAATAAATCAACATCTCCCTTACATGTACAAGTGAGTAATTAACTTATAATATTTATTAATTCATTATTAATTAAACACTAATTTCAATGTAAGACATACAAAAAATATAATCAAGTGATTTTTCTTAAATTTAAAAGTTAGAATGTTTTTTATAAGTATACATTTATTAAATTACTGAAATCTTTAGAAGAGATGTTCAGATCTAATAATTTCTTGAAATAACATAACTGATCACTCCCTGATTCACAAAGCCTACATTTATAGAGATTTAATTCTAAATATTTATCTTATATATTGCCTTTTTTTGTAATATAATGAATACTTTTTTATAAAAACACTGTATCCACAGTTAAATAAATGTTTATAGTTTATAATAATAATTATTTATTTTATAGGTCGGAACTCAAACGTCTTGTGAACCTTCACCAACTCTTCCTGCATTCAGTGCTTCAAAACGAATATCGTTGTAAGTGTTTGGTGGTGTCCACTTTTATTTTGTTTATCTGATACTAGTATTAAGAGAGCATTATATTTTTTTCTCTGTCTTACACATGTGTATTATAGTTGTGATTACATAGTTGAAATCACGATATTATAAGAATTATAAAATGAATAACTTTATCTTGGTTTTACCAGAAGCTTAATTATTATTTTATATTAAATTAAGCTTCTAAAAAATCACAGGTTTTATTTTAAATTTTTATAATAGGTTTGATATCTTAATTTTATTGATGTAATCACAGTGACTGAGATATGGTGAGAGATTTTTGGTTAGCAAGCTACTAGTATTGTTCAATACATCTTGTCATCTATTTAGTCCAATATGTTTTAGTAAAGGATAGTTTTCAATCCAATTGATCACAAGGGAGTTTTTAAAAATATATTATTTATCCAAAATGTAATACTATTAACATGAAGCATTTGATAACTTAATGGGCAGCAAGTGTTGTTAACTAGTATGTAGTAGAAGAGATGTTCAACCAATATTCTCTCAAAAATGTGGAATTTACATGAACTTGTGTTTACAAAAATGTTGTTAGAGGTTTTCATTAAAAACTAGGATAAGTCCTGTTAACATACCAACCAAATATTGAAAAGTAAACTGATATTTTTAGAATGACCAAAAAATAACCAACTTTATATTTTGAATTAAAATGTATTTAAATATACTAAGTTCCTCAAAAGAAACGGCTTCGCACCAACCAAAACAGGTCATCAATGCGCTACCACGTCTACTTTACTTATGGTTTCCCCCACTTATTCTTGTCCTGTAGTCCTCGATTGGCTGTGCCGATGAGGCGCATTTGTTATAAAATGGGTTGTGTGGTCAACTGCCAAACCTCAATTTGTGTGCACAAAATCGGTCTGTTTTCTCGTGCAACAGAAACGTGACTAAATAGAATTAGACTAAACAGTAAACATGTTTGAACTTTTAGTCAGGTTAACTTAGTTTTTATATATTCTATATGTGTAAGACAAATAAAACGTTTTACCGACTCGTCCTCTTAAATATAATATTGTTTTAGAATTTCTGAGAGGATAGCAGCTGATCAATCAGGTGCGACTAATCCAGATGTCATCACACCATTTAGTTCGGCAAGTGATGCTGTAAAAAGATTATCACGATATCATTGTTTAAATGAAGCAGTGTTATCAGAAAGAGATTTGGAGTTGGCTGATGAAATTTTTGAGTCGACTGCCAAACAAATGTTAGATAAAAAAGCATCATTGTTTAACAAATACCGTTACCTATTATTTAAAGAAAGCATGGTGAGCATCATACTTATATTGTATTACATGTTAATATTTAGGACTCGGAATTATATGCAATATGCATTATTATTTTTTATAATTATTAATTGATGAAATGTTAGAAAAAATTATTATATTTCAACCATTGCATAAAAAAAGGAACAGATAAAATGTAAAACCCATACATTCTTAAATTGTAAACCTGTATTTATATGGGATAAAATGTTGAACCGCTTTAATTATTTTGAAATTGTTAGAGAAATATCATCAGGATAGAAGCAGCTGAAATCTAGATAGGAAACAATTAATGCATTATATACTTTTAGGAAATGCACGCATTTGTGTGCCAAAAAAAAAAAAAAAAACATGAGAATATTCAAACTAAAGAAATTTGAAATATATGTTGTATTCTTGTGGGCTATAAATAAATAAAATTGTTCACAATAGTTGAGTTAGCTTATTTTGTTAGTTGGTCTGATTCAATTAAAAATATTTTGTCCAGCCCATCTTTATTGTTCAACATTATTGTTTGCAAAATATCAACCAGCCATATCAGTTGTATGTTTCAAAAATATTATTTTCTTTGTGTTTTACTTTTTGTTCACAGTGACATTGAACCATTTTTGACGTACAATTTTTACTTTTCTTGGTAAAATTTGAAAATTTGAACCAAATATATTTTATAGACTTCTCTGCTTGGAATAGCAATTTATTACTAATAATTAAACATGAATGATATTGTTTTATAATTTTCTGTTGTAGTTAATTTTTTGATATGTTTTTTTCAAATATATCTTGGTAAATTACAGTAAATTAGTTTTTGATATTCACTTTATATTTTATGTATATTACAAAAAAAAGTGTCTTCAACGCTTTCTGAAAATATATATTTATATATAGAAGATAGTTAAACTTTTGAATTTTTAATGATTAAAAGTCACTCCTGGCCAAGGTCAATGTCAAAAATACATTAGGCACTGTAAAGAAATAATGTAAAATCCATAATACATTAAGAACAATAAATTACATGTAATAGGAAATAAATATTTAAGTTGAAATGTGCAAAATATATTTTATTTAATGATAATTCATGATTTGAGTTATGCTTGGTCAGACGACTTTTCTAACTATTAAAATAAATATGCATATTTTTATAATTCTGGGACCCATATTAAATTCTTGGAAAGTTGAAGATTTTATTAATTATGTGTTATTAGAGGGAAGTGCAAACATCTGAATTGATCATGTTGGGTCGAAAATTTGACGCTGATGAGTCTGCACAATTACAACAGTTAAAACAAAATTTGAACACAAATTCAGTTAATTCAACGAGTAAGTTGCATATTAATAATAAAAAAAAGTTAATTATTTAATTAACCAATAACTTTCAGGTTGTAGTGAAGAACCTATGTCTAAAAAACGTGAACACCAACTGGAGGATGAACAGTCTACATCAGAAAACAAACGGCATTGCCCTGATGATGAAGAAATCAATGCACAGGTGCAAAATGCCATAGACAGTATTTTGAATTTGCAACGCAGCGATCCGGCAACGGATGAAGCGGTGCGCAGCATTTTACCGTCCTAGCATACTGGTCATAGGAAATGTTTGACCACAGCGTGAACATTAAAATATTGGTTCCTCAGTGTACGGATTTCCTAAACTCGATTATGGTAATATTTGACTGTGTTAATTTAATTTTTTTTCCTTTCTTTTTTATATAGATATTTTTTCTTTAAAATATCTTACACTTAATGAAACAAATGTTTAAGTAAAACAATATGTTAAGATAGAAATTTAAGATAGTGTAAGGATGGGCTTCAACACTTCTATAAGAGATTTGGAAACCTAAGTATATTCTTCTCGACAATTATGATGTTACCAAATTATTAATTTAAACAATTCTTTATCTAGTCTACAAACAAGTTGTTGCATCACATATTATGTTATTTATGTGTTATATTTATCAGTTTTCATTCTTAAAATAATTCAAAATGCAGTCATGAAACTAATGAACTTACTATATTAGTTAGTTTTATTTTTACCCTATTAATGACTTTAAAATATATTGCCACTTATTTTGTTGTATTCATAACTTTCAGTCAATTTCTTATATTGAAAAATATATTATTATAAATTATTACAAACCCCATTTTATTATGTACATCCAATTTAAAAAAAAAAACTAATATGTGATAAAGTACATAAAATAGTTATCAAGGTTTATTCGTATATTTCTTTCAACTTATATTTATTTGATATAGACTCGAGAGGTATGAGATATAATTATATAAAGTTTCATATAATAATTTACATAAATTATATACAGAGTGATTGCAAGCATGCTCTCGCCCCCATTTTTCCTTAATTATTAAATGTATACAACTTCTGTTCTTTTGATAATTGATTAAGATTTATGTACCATTTAATGAGTGTCCTATGGCGATATAAATTTATTTTTTTCAAAAGAGCCCCAACGTGTTTAATTTTAAATTATTAGGCAAATGATTTTTTAAAACATTTTGATGTAGCTAAATTAAAATTTGAACTAAAAGTTTATGTGTTCTTTAAATCTATTTACTCAGGTTAACGTAGTTCTTTAAAATTGTTTTGCAAAACTATAAAGTTGATGAAATATTTAACCTAGTGTCTAGTACTTATTATACTATGAAGATTTTACAAAGTATAAAATTATAGATTAATATGAATTACTATAGTTTTCAAATCATATATTCCAAATCTATTATTATAGTACACTATGTTCTATAGCTCAAAAACTAGTTAGAATTTTGATTTGTGTACTAAATAGTTTTTAAAAAAAATCATCTGCTCAACAATTTACAGGATAGTATTCAAATTTTATAAAAAAAATAAATCTGGAATCACCACAAGACATTCCTTCGATGGTATAGAAAATATTTTCTCTGAGGGTGGCGGCATGCTTGGTATATTACCCATTTGTCCTGTATATCATGTATTCATGTATTTTATTTTCTTACTATATGTTATATTTTGTTATTTATTGTAACCAAACAGTATTTCTTAATATTAAATAACAATACAGATATTTTTGTACTATTTAATACATTTCCAAAATTCAGAATAGATTACCTTAAACGCATTGTGTTAGTTATCATCTTAGTTTGTTTTTATCGTTTAGTCAATCTCTAATATCATAATAATATGCAGTATAACATTTAATTAACCTATTACCTACCTCACATGATTTCAGGATAAAAATTAAAAATATTATCAAGTTTTCAATCACACATTACTGTCTATGGTGAAGTGTAAATTTACACAAAATTATATTGGAGTGGTTAATACATACTCGACTCCGTCCCTCAATTTTTATATATAGCAATAAAGGCAACCAAGTATTAAAATAAATTATTCAATAAACACAATATTGTGATACCATTTGGACATAGTATTTTTGTTTTTGTATGTGAACTACTCCTCTGATAGTAAATAGTTTTAAGTTAAGTGTCATGATTCATCATTGCAATTTTATATTGGGGTTCTTTCTAACACCAAGGCAGTACTAAAATATTTCTAATATAGTTTAGTCATTTTTTTCATTAGTATATTTTGTATGCTGTTAAACAAGTATGGTAATGTGCTATCTATTAAAGAATAACTAATTTTACATTTTAAATTGTAGTACGTTAATTGATGTTCTTTAAAAATAATCTTCTATAATGGCTTGTAAAAAAAAAATATTTGTCAAATATCGATTGATCTCTAGACTACATTACTGTAGTAGACTTTTGAAAATAATATCCGATTTTTTTAACACCCGTAATTTAATTACCTAGATAGTAGATAAGTAAAATAAGACTTTCACTATGACATGTTTGTTGATTTTTGTACGATTGAAAATAAAAAGTCTTAACTCTTATTAAACTTCTGCGTGTTAAAAAATAAAACACATGTAAACATAATGTATGAGCTATGATTTGGTAGCACACCATAGAATTAAATATTATAAGTCAAGTATTTTAAAATTTCTAAGCAATAATCAGTGTATCTTTAATATAATATGCCCAGGTGAAGGGTATAAAATAATATGATGTGAAAAATATTACGTAATTAATCAATATTCTGTAGATAGCATATAACATGTCTAGATTTATATTTTTTAAAATTCAAGATAAAAAATAATGATAAATATGTAACTTGTATTTCATTAAGTAAATTTATTTAAGTATGGCGATATTTCATTGAAGATTAATACATTTTTATAACAATGTTCAACATTTCTTTCTAACTAAACTAAGATATTTTTGAAAACTTTTCTCTATACTATATGACATTGAATTTGACATGTAGTGAAGAAAAGGATCATGATTAACATAAATTTGGTTAACACAGTGTTTATTTGAACTTAAAATGTTAAAATTCACGCAAATAACTCATAAGTCATGACATTTTCAGCCCATCCTTACTACTTTTTTTTTGCACAAAAGTCACATATTTGAAATATTAAAAGTTTTATTATTTTAAAGCATCACTTAATTAACTTGAATACCATAAATTCACTTGACACCTAATTAGATACCTATTTTATAGTTGTTTAATAATACCCATTAATTTTATTTTATTTTTTGTATTTAATTTATGATTTATTTCTTCTGGCAACTATCCTCGCTTTAGGTTTAGACTTTAAATATTTTAATGTACCTTACCTTAACTGGCATTTGTTTCAATTTTAAAATTGTCATTGGCCAATTTTTATTAAAACTAGAAAAATATTTTGGCCCATGTTGATTATTAAAAGTTTAAAGCAAGAGCTCAAGAGTAAATAGTTAATTATTTCTCTAAATTCAAAATCAATTAATTTATCATATTATATTTTGTTTCATTGTGTTAACGCCACTAGTAGTTACATTGAATATCAATATGGACTTTGTTGAAAGTGTACCAACAACCAACATTAACTATGGGCCAAAATATTTTTCTATAATGCATTTCCCATTTGTTTAGTTACCAAAAGCATTTATAATTTAAAAAAATAAATTTTAGTTTTTCTTTTGTGCAAAATATTATATTGTTTGCCAAATGTATCGCCGTTATATTAAAAGTGTATAATGTACTTTCGTTTATGTTATTTGAACGAAAGTTTTTTCCACAGGGTAATTTAAAACCTAAAATAAATTTTTAAATATTTATTCACTTTAGTCAAGTGTACTTAAATATAAACTAATGTAACTCACTAAACGAGTAGTATTTTATAATATGCACGTACGTTTTTTTTCTACGTGTCTTGTATAAGATCTCAAATGCACAAATCTATAGAATTTGGGCAAAAATCTATAATCTAGATAAACATTTTTCATTTTGCCATTAATTATATATTTATATATATATATACATATATTTTTTTTTAATTTATTTTAAAGTTACTTTATTTGTATAATTGTTTAGTTTAAGTCTGTATATGTAAATTATTATTGTGCTTAAAATGATGTTTTGTTGTGTATATAATTATTTAAAAATAAACTGTGAATTATTGTAATAATTTTGCATTCTTGACACTTGATTAATTAGAAATAAATTATATCAAAAAAATAATTATCAGTTTAAATTAATTATTCTTATGATATATTACGTAGTATTGTAATAACTTAAAAATAATGTTAACACCTTACAACAGATTTCTTCAGGAAAGTCTAGAGTTTTGGGGAGATATCTTAGTACTGCATCATTTACATAACAAAGGGAGGAGGGGGGTGCTCTTAGCCCTTCCAAAAATATCCCTCATTGATTTAGATAGATATAGTCTCCCCATGGGTTATTTTAAACTAATGGTGTTTGTTGGGTGGGCTGTTTTTTTTTTTTATTGGGTAGTGATAGTCATAAAGCCCGGTCCAGACCAAGAAACATTTGTAGGAAACATATGTTTCTGACATTGTCGTCGACAAATATTTATGTTACCGCTTATGAGCGGAAATCGGAAACATTGTCGATGACAATGTTGGAAACACTTGTCTCCGACAAAATTTTCTTTGGTGTGGACGGGGCTTAAGAGATGCATCAGTGGTTTCTAAACCGTCAAAAATACCTCATCGATTAGGAATCAACTAAATATTTTCATAAAATAAAGAATCAGGGAGTGTGAATCAGGAAAATAGTATATTATTATTAAATTATATTAAATTATTTTATTTTCCGAAACTTGAAATTTATTATACTATGCCATTATTATAAAGATAATATTGTTCTATCGGAAATCTACTAGAATGTCACCAACTTGATTCACTTTCCCACCAGAAAAGTTGCTGAGTCAGAAATCGAAGTATTATTTCAACTACTTAACAATATATGTACCTAGACACAAATAAAACATTAATTTAACAGACATCAACATTGTTTTATAAATAAGTACATTCATCGCTCAGCTCAGAATCTAAAACTGGAATAATAGGTATACAATTATCTATATAATATGAGGATAGTACAAATCTATTTTTATCTACTATAGATATTTTTAGCAGGTGTTTTATTTACACATCAATCATATTTATTATTGCAACATTTTATATTTGTATGGTTCTCATTGGCGAGGGGTCAGGAACCATGAGATTCAAAAAGAAAAAAAGCTGGTTAGTGGGTAACTTTCTGTTGGTGTCTAGAGATGTAGCGAATGTGTTAAATTTGAATTAAATGATATAAAATCATGGTATACGAAAAACGATTCTGAGTGAAGACGGTCTGGCAGCCTATAATATTACTTATTACCTACTAAGTATATTTTATGATATTATTGTGATTAAAGTAGTTTATTTTACTATAGTCATTAATACTACTTTAGGATAAATTAATTTTTGAACATTTAAAAAATGTCAATATTTTGTGTAAAAATATAATAATAAATTAAAAAAGTTTCAAGTGCCAAACTGCCAACTAATTACAACAAATAAGTATACTCCGTGCCACGAGAGAAGTAACCCGTTTCCCTACCAAATAGCGGTCGAATCCGCGCATCCCCCACCTATTTGACATGTTGGTTTTGCACGATCACGACCGTCAACGTTGTATAGTAATACTATTAGTATGTATCATGTTGTAAAGTGGGGCTTCGGAACGGTCGCTGCCGTCAGTATGCATGGGCGTAGGGGTAGGAGTATAAAATTGTTATTTATCTTTTAAATATTTCTAATTTCTAATTTCGTCTAAATTTGAACTTTAAATTTCTAAAAAAGAAACTGTATATAATTATTGGATTTTTTGGTTACAGTATAAACTACTTATGTGGAACCTTGTTCTAAATTTTAAATTCTTAGCTATAAAAATTGAATATTTTAAAAATTTTTAAGTACCAAATAATTTGCAAAATTTTGATAAAATTATGAAATTTTAACTTTTAATGCTTATAAAAAAAAAATCATGCCTATATATCTACAACCAATTTTATTGTCATACATATCATTTCAAAAATTGAAATGTCTAAATAGCTCAAAACGAGTCGTAATACTTTGAATATTTTACTATACATAATAATAACATTATGGGATGCGCAGAATTGGCGCGTTCTCTCGCTGAACAGAGTATAGTTCACTAGACGACTTGAAGCACTTGCAATAGTAGTTTCTACAGTGTCATGTCGGAAAATCTCGTACGGTTCTCAGTATGCTGCATACCCAATTGTTTACTATAATTAATAGGTACTAAAATGTCAAAAATCACCAAATATTTTAAATCTTTACTTACACCATAAAAAGGTGCTTATACTAAAAATCAATGCATTTAATAGGCTCCTTTGTTCATAAGTCAGTCAATTTACTCTACTTGTATCTGAAATATTGATAATTTAATTCTATTTAATGCATCATATAAGTAAACACATCATTATTATAAAATTAATCAGAAAACATTGTTACTTCCCTTATCAATTATTATTAATTAATAATTATTTAAGTTTCTTTTTTACATAGTTAAGTGTTCATTAATACAATTTGAAATTATATTATTTAAGTACATTACATTTGTCAGATATATATAACAAGTATTTAAAAAAATAAGATCATTCACAAATTAAAACAATATTACAGTTTTATTGTTTTAAGTAAATTACTAGCAAATTTGATTGGTTAGAATACTGCTTATGAAGGATACACATACATAACATTATCAATATTTTCTCTGCAAATTGGACAAGTAGAAACCTTTTTTTTCTTCACTTTTTCAAAACATTCATCACAAAAACACATATGTGAACATGGTAATAATACAATTGAAGCTTTAAATGGTTCAAGACATATTGAACATTTTGATAGTTCACACGGTTCATCTATAAACAAAAAAATATTGTATTTATAATAAAAATCAATAATACATTTAAATATAATTTTGTACTTTTAGATTTATTGACTTTATTTTTATTATTCCGATTTGTATTGCTTGGACGGGGATAAGGTGCAAAGCGAGGATTTTCATCTCGAGGCCGAGGGTCTTGTAATCCGGTTGGTTCTTCTATATTAAACATTGAACAAACCACTGTTCCAATAACTGCTCCTAAAATAAGCAAGAACGTTTAATATACTTCATAACTCATATTTTGTATCTAAATGTATCTAAATAAATCAATACAAGACACTGATATTCTTTCTATAATTTTTGTATGGACATATAGTGAATAAATCTATTGTGTACAATTAAGGAATCTTACCAAACATAGAACCAAGTCTTCCTCCAGCCATAAAACCCAGAAATGTTAGTCCTCCAACAATCAGGGATGTTTTTACAACGGAATTGGGTGGCATTTTAATAATATATTAACACTGCAATCAGAAGTCATACGAGATTATTAATTAGAGGTACTCATTTGTAAATAACAAATTGTCTGTTAAAAAATATATTCCAAAAAATTACACCCTCCATTATATTATTAATCTAAAAATAGCAACTTTAAAACATAGCAATAAACAACTATGAAAAAATAAATGTCATGCAATAAAATAATGCCATAATTGAGTTTATGAACAATCAATATATCGACATGACGACACATGTATTCTTCCAATTTTTTTTTCTGTTTCTAATATACTTAATAATATATAATATACATTTAATTAGATGTATTTATGACAAAATCAGATGTGTACTAATTATACCTAGTCCGTATTAATCTAATCATTTGTGTGTTAATTTAATAGTTCTAATGATTGTCTAAGAATTTGTGTGATGAGAGAGATAATTAGCACGGCCTCTAAAATTTAAGAACATATACAGATTTTTGGCAATAATATATTATGTTTTTCAATAGTGATTTTGAAGTGAGTATTTTAAATTATAAAATGTCATTATTGTCTTAAACTTAAATATCAAAAAGCCTATGTGGGGCCCTACATTTTACCTTTAAATTTGAAAATAGGTTAATTTATCCTAATATTAAAAATAACAGTGTAATATGGATTATTCCTAACATAAAATTGTCTATGTTAGTAAAATGGGATATAACTAATGTGGCAAAATGTGTCCCCAAAAGTTACGGATGCCCTAGACCAGGAATCTGCCGTAAACTATTGCTCCATCCTATGGTCAGCATCAAGATGCTGATGCAAAAGCGTACCTTAAGTATACACACACTTCAAATCAAAACTTATAGTAGAACTAACAATAAAAAGAAAAATCAGCGAGACACAAGAATCTTGGTAAATTTTTTATATTACTGTATCGCGAAAACACAACATGGAATTATTAAGTACTGTTGAAGACAACTATTTAAAAACTAAAACTTCAATTCAAATTTTAAATCAAAACCAAATAGCAGTGGCCTTCAGTAGACAAACCATAATGGATTTACTTCTCCGTCTGTGCTCAACGGTAAAACAAACAGCCTTATGTAATTATTATAAATAATACATCAACTGTCTTCAAAAATATACATAAAACACTGCACATTGGTCCATAGGATCATCATTTTTAGTAGATATAATAAGTAATAAAACATAATCCAATTATCTTTTCCCTCGAGCTTTAATTTTAGCTAATAAAATTTGTATACATTTAGATATATTTTTCCTCTCACGCAATTGTTTTAAATCTAAATCTATGTAATTATTAAAAAATATTGATTGATTAATATGAAAAAAAAAAAAAATGTTTATAATGTAACTATAATTTTATATATTGATTACTTTTATTTCAGAGTTATTTTTATATTATTTTTCTGTTTTTGTTAGGTTTTACTACACTTTTTTAGTTTTTATCTGATATGTTTCCTTTATATAATTTGTAAAAGGGTATATACCCGTTGATATACAACATAAATAAATAAATAAATAAATAATATATTGTACCTAATATTTACTATATTTACGGTGGCGCTTAATAATTTTGTGTATTTCCGTCACATAATTAATGCGTTGTACCTATTTTAACTATACATCATTATAATATCATAATATTGGTTTTCTTTGGTGTATACATTACCGGTAGAGATATTGTCAACGGTGGGACATTAGCCAATAACACAGTCGTGACCACTAACGCAATAAACTGTCTGAAAATCAAAATTTACAAATGATTTGTTTTAAATATTGTTAAAATAATATAATATTATAATCATTATTATTTATTATCCGCAGCCGAGTCCGTGGAAAAAGCTTGCAAACTCCAAAAGGTAAATAAATAAAAATAAAAGGCAACCAATAACGCAGAAGACGAGACGGAGTAAACACACACAAAAAAACAACTATTTGTAAACAAAACAACTGATAACAATGTTAGATAAACGCAAAAAACATATTGCTGTTATCATTTATCAATTCTTTGTGCCACCATAGGTCTTCGACGACGATCATCAGTCGACTTCTCGAAATCCTAAACGGGTAACACGGTTAGTCGACTTATTAAAACTTACCAATTAATAGTTTAAATTCATTAGTTAGTGAACTTCACGGTATTTCGTTCCGTAGACTGGTGTTTTCAACGACGATCTCGTTCAATCGGTTTTTTTTTTGTTTTGATCGAATGTTCTCTTGCTGTGTGGTTTATACGTCTCATATTATATTATTATAATACAGTAGTGACTCGAATAGCCAACACGATTGGGGCCGTAATCCTGGAGAATAATCATGGCCGAGAGTTCGAGCCTGTGGACCACCAAGCAGAGGATTCGTCATCTAGACCTACCGATCAAGAACTTTGTCGAGAACGCGATTCCTTACCAAGTGGAGACGCTGAAAACGTTGAAATCCAATCTCGCCAAGGTTAGTGTTTTGTGTAGACTACAGCTATTGTTTGTGTTGTTCTGTAACTGTTGTTGTTAAACAGCAAAGACGTTTGGAGGACCGCAGCAGTATGCGTCAATTGCAAATGAAAGCCTCGCAATCCATCAGACGCGCGAGAGCATTACTCAGGGAGATGGAAACCTTAAGAAATCAAGTTGCTGATGTCGATCTGCAGACCTTTGACAACACGATGAATCCAAGCAAACAATTGATATTGGAAGCTATTGATATGTTTAGAAGTAATTGTTTTTAATATTTCAACACCGATTTGCTATTGTGAGTTTATATTATATTTTTATTTACATCTCGTATAGATGAAGATTTAAATGAATACAAATCTAGAGCTGTGCTGGAAGAAACTTATAAAGACAACACTGAACAATTAGAAGAAGAAAATCGAAAACGCATGTTTTTAATATCTATTGAAGAAGAAAAACAAAAACAGGAAAAAATGTTAGCGATTGAATCAGATGTTAAAAATGTTGAGAAAGATATACAAGGCATTCAAGATCTATTTCGTGATCTCAGTAAACTAGTAAATGTATGTATCAGAATCAAATTTACTTTTCATCTATTATTATTTATTAATTGTGCATTATATATTTATATGTTAATACATTTATTATTAGTGTAATTTTCCTCAATAGTTATTTTCACAATTACATAATTTTCTGCTACTTAAGCGTACAAATTCACTTACCAAATAGAATACACACTTATTTGGATTCTGCAAGAAAATATATAGGTATTATAAATTATAATGAGTGTGTTATAGGCATTTAAAAAAAAAATCAAGTATCAGCCTTTAAATAATGTTATATTCAAGTTACAAAATATATCCATGATGACGGGTTTTCCTAAAACTACGCAAAGAAAAATCTTACATCTGATTTGTTTAACAGTTATAATTGAAAAGAAATCACTATAATTTCTTAGTGGGTGCATGTATACTACTTTCTGAATGATTGTACTATAGTAGAAAACAAGAGCAATTTGATCTAGATATTTTGGGAAAAGTACAGAATTTATTGCTTTCACAATGTTATTTCTTTCTGTGCACCCTTTTTCAGGCAGTCAAAAATTTTTAAAATTATCATGTAGTCATGTTTATTGGTTGGTAATTGAGTCTAATCGATACTTTGAAGAAACATTTCTTTATTTTGTCGGTAGTTTTAATAAATGTAAAGAAACCAAACCTTGATACATGTTGAAGAAATTTCAGCAACTATGGGTTTAAATAAACTCCACTCAGAATCGTATAAGTATTAAACACAATTATTAAATTATTGCTTTAAAATTTATAATAATAAGACATCACTATCATTCATCGAGGTGAGTGAAATGTAATAAATGCCTAACTTCCAATTATTGTATTCTGTCAATCTTGGATTCCATTATTTGATAATTTACTAGAAATCTTATAAGTGAATATGTTTATGTTCCAAAAGTAAGAAGTAAAATTTAAATTTAAAAACTCCTGCAGTTAGTAATGTGTTCTTGAATATTTAAAATACTATTTTAGAGAAGTTCTTTTAAATTTAAATTTAATATTATTTATGTAAAAAGTAAAATATTATACTTTGTGTCTTGTGATCAATGGTTTGATTCATGCAATATATTTTTTATATGACTATATTAAAAAAATACAAACAAATCAAATGATCAATTATTTTTAACTTGTGTAGTATTTTTGTTTACACTTAAATTAAAGGAACAAAAAGAAGATGTTGAAAAAATTGATGCTCATGTTGAGACAACACATGAAAACGTAATTCAAGCAGAACAGTCACTACGCAAAGCAGCCAAATTGAAGAAAATGTCTTATCCGCTTATTGGAGCTGTGGTTGGGTCTTGTGTCGGAGGTCCATTAGGATGTTTGGCTGGTGCTAAAGTTGGAGTATTTGCCACTGTTACTTGCTTTGTACTAGGTAATATTTGCAATAATCTTATATTTAATACTTTTATTTTAATTTTTAACTTAAATACAATAATTGACAAAAGTTATTTTCATTTCGTTTTATAGGATTTACCGGTGGTAAAGTACTCAAGGACAAATCTAATGCCGTGGAAGAAACAGAAAACACAACCAACGATTTAGTTAATCAAACAGTAAAATCACATACCGAATGATCACTATTTTAATTAAGCATTTTATGACAAATTATTGAGATTAAAAAGAAAAGGGAACGGTTGACTTGTTATTCAACTTTTATATATTTTATTTACTTAATATTTTTATAAGTCTATATACATGTTGTATTTTTTTAAAATTGTATTTGTCTAAAGATAAATAAAATGAAAATATAATAACTTAAATTATATTATATTAATCATAATAACTATAATTATAGGTAAAACACATTATTTATCCTCTTTATAATAAATTGTTTCTAATTTGAATTGATGTATATAGTTTAATAGAAACAACACAAATACAAATACAATTTAAACTCAGTTGGTCAGAAATATATAATTAAAAAAAATATGAATATTAAATTGTAAGTATGAAATAAATAAAATATTTAAAATTATTTACTGACTAAAATACATAAATTGGGTACCACAAAAATAAATATGAACAGTCACATTGCACATCATTACATATTATTATATTATATATACAATAAAAATCACATAATTTAATTTTTATTAGTCCAGTCAAAAGTATATTATATGTAGACCCAAATTATAGGATAATTTGATACTATGACCAATCAGTTAACATAATACAAAAATGAATCTTTTGAATCATAAAATTATTTATTGCATTTACAGTTTTGATAAATACAGTACATTGCATTTAATGATTGTATGTCTAATTGTTATAAAAACAGATGAGAATTGTTTACTTGTATTCATATATTTGTATATAGCAAACAACAAAATTAACCAGCCCATTCAGGTAATCTACTAAGTGATTTTTACTGTACACACCAATATGTTACATACAAATCAATGCCCAATTTAAACACACAAATCAAGTAAACAAAACTTACACTATTCTATAAATCTTAAAATAAAAATCTTTTGGATTATTTTAAAAAGGATATTATTGTATTGTCACTAACACAAACTATAAAGGCTTATGCAATGTTAAATATAAAAATTAATGCATTATTATTCACAAAAGTAACTACAAAACAATCAATAAAAAAAAAATTATAACTTAAGAATATTCAATAGCACCCAATGTTAATCATACAAATTAGTAATTACATGTATTAAGTAATGTACACTTATAAGTTATGACTAACAGTGTTTAATTGACAGATACATTTTTTTAAAACTTAAGAGTCATATTAGATAAGTCTTTATACATGTAATTATAACTATTACCACAAAGACAACACAGGTACAAGAATGAAGGAACCACAACAGAACCTACAAGGAGGAACATCTTTTTTTAAATAACTCGATTTAGCCTAATAAATAATTAAATAATATATATATACAAAAAATATGGCTGGTTACATTTAAATAAAAATATATGTATGAAGAAATTGGAGCAAAAAAATTAAAGAAATATTTACAATTAAATAGTAGCTAGGTTAAGTCAAGTCTTCTAAATTTTATGAATAAATAAATTATTTAGATCAAAAGTTTTAATAGTATAAATGAACCTGAGTGATCACTTATTATGTATCCTCGTTTATAAAACAAAATATCTGATGTTTTCAATAAATAGATAAAAAATTGTATTTTCTGTTACTAAAAATATTATATTTTTAATAAGGATTTTAAAATTTTATTTTTCTAAAAATAATTGTTGGTTGTTGCACACTATGATATTCTTTTTTATTATTATTAATATTTCAATTTAGTAATTGTACAATCTGTAAATGTATATTTTTCACATCATGCACATGTTACTAGAAAAAATAAACTAAATTTACAACATTTCAGACAGGGGGCTTGTGAAGAGGCCATCCATTAATGGAACTGAAGGATATTTTTAATTTTATGTTTCAAAGCCATTAAGAGATCACATGTAATTCAGAGTTCAATATTTTTTTCATAACATACAATTAGGAAATCATATTATATAAACCGAGCAAATAGTTTTTTTCCTATGTTAACCTTGGAAGTAAACACAGCTGCCCAATATAATTTCCACACAATGTAAAAAAATAATTATAAGCTAAAAGATAAATGATAATTTAGTTTTCAAGAATAAAACCCATTATACAAATACATTTTTTTTTAAAATACATATTTGGTAATTTGTAGTAAAATTATCACTCACTTCATTATTTATATGGTATCCTACTAAAAAATCATTGAGCGTTGAACAAATGTATGAACATCTAATTATTAAAGAAATATACATGAGAAATTAAACTACCTTTGAAATTGTTATGATTTTTAGGGAGAACTTTGTTCGAAAAGAACATCATTAGACTGATTACTAAAACTATAATCCAATTGTCCTCCTCCCTCATCGACCATATTCTGTACTATATTTGATGAATAGGAATGCTGCATAACTTGTTCATTCTTTAAAAATAAAATGTATAAGTAAAATAAATAATTAATAGGCAAAACTGTAAAAGTGTCTTTACTCGTTCGTGTAATAATAAGACATCAGAAGATATTAATGGACGCGTTTCAAAAAGTTCTCCAGTAGTATTGGAACAAATTATTTGGTTGGTAGAGGTCTCTGGTTGAGTTGTTTGCTCCGAAGTCTGTGTGGATGTTTGTAAAGAATCCTAAACATATTTTTATAGTCTGAATACAACTTAAAATTAAATAGAACCATAAACCTATATTACATACGTCCATAAATGTAGGCAAAATTCCACATCGAGCCATTAATAATTGTTTAGTAATTTTCTTTAGTTCTTCCTGTTGTTTGACAATAGTTTTTTGTAACTCCTCTTGTTTACGTTGTAATTGATCTTGAATAAGATTTTCCTGTGACTATATTTATTTTATGTGTTAATAAGTATAAAATATAAATGTAAATGTATCATCAGTTTTGGTTTTAATTTTTCCATAATTTATTGGTATTTTGTAATAACTTTGTAAGTGATGTTAATTAAAATAATATAGAATCCAAAATTAAGAAGTAGCTTACATTAATTGGTATTACAATACTGTTGAAAGTGACATTTCTCCATTCCTCTTACTATGTTACTGTAGACAATAACTAATAATACTCTTATCTGGAACCTACGCTGATGGTACTTATATCTTAGGCACCAGTCGACCATTCTAAAAGTTCAAAATCATCTCAATGTTTCAAAACATGGAAAATTAAAAGCAACGAAGCCAAAACAGCTCATACACTTTTACTGCCCAATCAAGAGACGGGGTGTCAGCTCGAATTTAAGTAAAATATCTTGGGTTTCTATTCAATACTAATAAAAGACCAAATTGAGACCAGAGACTCAAAAACAAATAATATAAGCAACAGTTACTTACATAATCTTATTCTATACCCTCCTAAAATCAAATTCAAAATACACTAAACTGCCTAGTTTAATATAAAACTCCATGTCAGCATCTAAACCATATAATATGATGATTATAAGTTATAACACCCATAACATGGAGATCTTTCAGTCCTTAACAACCTATTCCTAACTATGCAAATATAATTCACAATATGATCAGCTGTAGACTTCCTTTTCATGCTTTATATGGCTTATATTTATAAATGATATACAATTTACCTATTATACAAATATTAAGGTCGTATAAACTGTAAAGAAAATTTAAAAGAAATGCAAAATTAAAGCTGTTATGACATTTTAATTTGAACACTAATATAAAACTTATTGATACTATATTATTTTTATGTATATTATTTATATCAATTAAATTTTAAATTTGATAGTTAACTTACTGGTGAAACTGAGCCTGCAGGTAACTTTACTGAAGATTGTGCATTTTCTAAATAATTGTTGAATGTTTCAGTAACATCACGTTTACTTTCTACCAATGTCAATGACTCAACTTCAGAATTAGAATTTCGAATATCTTCAATTGATCTAATTTTCTAAACATATAAAATATATTTATTAACATTATTAATTATATATTTATTTGGTAAAGAACATTCCTAGTATAATTTTTGAATATAAAAATGTATTTTGAAATGTTTAATTATATTAGAAGGTAAGGTTAATGTTTCCAAAAATAAAATTTTAAGGTAAGTTGTTGAGGCATAATATAATGTCTCAAGAGGATATCGGATCATTATTTGTTTCTCCCACTGGCTCACGTACATGGCGAATTTGCGTAATTCTAACATTATTTATGTTGACACATTGGCTTTTTTACAATATTTTATTTAGAATGATTCAATGATATAAGTATATAAAATGTTACAATTTGAAAATGCACATATTATCTTGCTAGAAAATTGACTCAGGCAATTGGATAATGGTTTAAATACATAAATAAAATTTCCAAAATCATTCATTAATAATTACCAGAAACAAATAAACTGATTGGGGATTTTTAAATAATACTAACTATAAAGCCTACATTTTAAGCTAATCAAGCCCAACAGTTAATAACATCATAACCCTAGGCGGTCCACCCTAGTAATCAATATTTACTAAATAATTAAGTTGATACAATGTATTTAAATACAAATTTCATATTACTATTACACGATACATTAACTATTTAATTAACAAACCATTTTTGGTGAGTCTGTACTTGGTTGATCATAATGTCTCTTTTGATATGAATCATAATCACTATTTGATGATTGATGTTCAATTTCATTTAAAGGAATGTGGCATAATCTTTTTTTACTATTTTTTTTTCCTTCGTTAGTCTCACCCTCTTTTTTAATAACATTAAAATAATTGATCACTTGATGATGACAAACAATGAATTCGGGTTTTGAGTTCCATTGGTGGTAACTAATATAATATCTTGATTGTAACCATATCCATTGTTGGCCTTTGGTTAGAAACCGATAATAACATGATGTTCCTTCACCTTTCAGCATAACTAAAAAAATAAATCCTTAATAACATGAACTAAAAATATTTATAGTTGTTTACTTACGTGCTTGGTGTGATAATATTACATCTTCTAAGTCATCAATATGGTAATACTCATAACCAGATGTTCCCAGTACTTCAAACGGCATATACCCAATAATTGAAGGACCTCTGAAATTAATATAAAAATACACAAAGTTAAAAATTTGATGAAATTCTTTTAAAATAAATATTTTTCACCTATGATCGAGAAATAAAAATTTCCATTCTAAACTGTGTCTTGAGGTGAATTCACTTTTTATATCCTCCATGACCGGTAGTTCTTTTAATAACTGTGGAGTCATAATTCGGCCAATACCAACAAATACTAGACTATACATTCAAAATAAACATTGTAGTTTTGAACTTGATAATTTAATTTAAAAATATGTATGTCCTACTTTTGGTCATCTTCTTCACTGCTAAATGGAGACGAAATTCTAAGATTTTCCCCATGATAAATTTCACTACTTGGTTGAAAGTAACCAAAAAATTGCACTAATTCAAATTCATTTTTTTCATTTTTTTCTTCTTTATCTTTAAATGGGTCATGTCTCTTACAATGACAAGAAAATACAATTTGATCTAAAATAAATTAAAAACAGATATTCAATATCAGACATAAGTATTTGTACTAACGATACATGTAACAGATTATTACCATTATCATAATTCTTTGAAAGCCTGGACTCTACAATTCGATCTTGTAATAACGAATGATCGGCTTCATGAATTATTTTAAATATTGATAAATTTTCCATGGTTTCCTAAAAAATAATATGTCATTAAAACCACTAACATACTAATGTATTGTAATGTATTAAATAGCATTATATGCATTATACACAGCGCTTAAATTTGAGGGGGATGGAATAGCACTTTTTTTTAAAAAATATTTTAGCATTGTGTTTCTCATTATATCCTAAACAATAAGAAATTTAAATGTTCGGGTACGCATATTTTTTAAAAATATTTTTGCGTCTCCCTTCTATTTGTTTCCAACTCAAGCACTGATTATACAGCAATAAATATTGAAAATAATTAAAAATAGTACCGGAAGATAACCAAGGAGAGCAGTGACAGTTTCTGATGCATGGAGGATCTTTCCCAATGATGTAAATACTATCATGAATCCATCCAAAGCCTAAATAATAATGAAATTAAAAACATTTAGTTTAGACAAAAAATTTGTACCACAAAATTTACTTCTAAAATTATATGTGTGAATTCTTCATTTAATAGAAATGCTGGCTTCCAATCATTGTCTATTTCATGTACTTTTGATTTCAATAATATATCTACAAATGATTAAGGTAAGTAATTTTTATATTTTACAACAGAATAAATAGACATAACAAACCTTTCTGTTTGTTCAAATAATTTATGGTTGTTTTCAAAACAGTGGACTTGTCCATTTTTCTATTGGTTGTAGACAACATACGATTTAATTCATTGATTAAGTTGTTAAATTGATCCCTGCGATTCTTCTCACTTGCGTTTCTTATTTTCCTAATGATTAATGTTTTCATAACAAGAGATCAATGAATAGTGAACAACATTGGTCACGAAACATTGGTAATACCTACCTTTTGGTATCGACTCTATCGGTCAGTTCATCGTCATACTTGTCACTGTTGAAACAAGAAAAAAAATATCCAAGTCACAAACAACGACAAACTACACCTGCCCAATCAATGAGTATGAAATACAAAGTTTACACACACCGGTCGGTCGACCGATGCAATCAATCCGATCAACTCTTGTAACATTTACGTTACAACAAAAAAACAATATGCCTGTGTTTATTGTCTACACGGTTAACCCCCCCCCCCAATCATTCCACTTATATGTCGTGTATCACTCGTAAGCACAACGACAGATCGACTTACTCGGATTTCCTAGTGGAGGCACTACTCATGTAGTTTGACATAGTGAAGTGCAGTCCGGTGGTACGTGTTATTACGGGCTCGTTGCTTCTTACCTTCAGGCGCCACGGTACACAAAGTTTACATTTTTACATGCAGCACGGTGTATAGTCGGGCCCATTGGTAAGTGCACACACAAAACAAACAAGTATTGGGCCGAGCAAACGAGACAAGTTTTCGGGAAAACGGCACTATTATGTATGCTCGATGTCGGGCGCCCGTCGGCCTGGCGCATGACAAGAGAGCGTTGTGGTTATAATCAAAACTATTGATATAAAATGATATGAAAAAATTTTCATTTTTAATGCACCACGGACGGCAGTCGAACCATTTCCTACGATATTAAATACATAGAGTAAATAATAATAATAATACTCTATGATTAAATAACATTTAAAACAATACATTATTATACCCGGGTTCGTACTCCACATGAGGTAGGTAGTAATGGTAATCGATAACAATAAGTCAATAAATAGTAATACGTAAATAGGTAAATAATACAAGCAACTACCTTAGACATGAACACATAATAATAATACAATTATTATTTTACATATTATAGACGGTGCCATATATACTTACTATGTAGCCATGTAGGTACTAAGTACTATACTAATATTTTTTTTTTTTATATAAACTATAAATTAACTATAACTATAGTTAATATGTACTATTATAGGTACACACGTCATGACACATTACAGGAGTAAGTACAGGACCGCAGTCCGCCGCTCGACGTCAGTTCGTGGGGGGGGGATAGGGGGCTTATTTCTACACAAAGTTAATTGATTAATAACATAAACAAATATGTAATAATAATTATTTATTCTAATTTGGACGGCTAAGGCGCCCAGCTACCCCTCATTCGCAACAATTGGTAGTGTAGCGGGTAGGCAGTGCTGTCATTTGTCTAGGGCAGTTAAAGCGACCAGCAGCTCCTTCTGCTCCTTAAACGGTACCTACAAGTGGCTACAACCATTGATTAAGTATGCATATAAATATATAATATCAAGTGACAAAATATAGTATACCGACTTAATCAATGTTACATTGCTACTATATACAAGTCTACACTACTCAGGGCCGACCCTAACAGGTGGTGAGGGGGTGTCCCACCCACCATGCGTTCACATGTGTGTTTCGGTTGGCACATTGATACATTGAGTATTTGAATTTTGAGTTGGCACTCGGCAAATTATAATTAAATTATAATTTGCCGAGTTTTTTTTGTTTAGAAAAAGTTATCAAATAATTTTATAAATATTACGAAATACGAAAATAAGACAATTTCATGATAATATATTATAATTTATATAATAATACATATAAAGGTAGGTAGGTATACACAGGGCGGAACTAGGGGGGTGAAGCCGGGGATTGATCCCCGGGCGTAAAATTTTAGTGGGCGTAATTTTTCTTTAGTTCTTTATTGGTGATAGAAGTTAAGAAAACATTTTTATTTCACATTATTTGTTTATGATGTTGTAGGTAGTGATGACGTTGGAATTAATGAAAAAAAAAAAATAAAGTTAATGGTAAGATTATGAATAGATTGGTATTAGTATACTAAGTATATACTGGTATACTGGCATTAGCATACCTACTGCAAGCATATACAACTAATATACTATAATTATTAAGATTCTGAGTGAAAATGTAACTAGTAACTATACCTAGGCATTTATTGATGATGTGTTTTCGTTAAAATTTCTGATACCTACACAATAACTGTTATAAGATTATCAATCAACGTACGATACGTATAATATTATATCTGTTTATTAAAAATGATGTTAATATAATTGAAGACTTGAATTCAATTACGGGCTAAGTGCCGAAAAAAAAAAATTGAGTTAGACTCGAAAAACGGAGCTATGTGCCATCGCAAACAACCTATAAAGAGGGCTATGTGCCACGACCATAATATTGGTGAACAAATAGCAAACAAATGTCGTGAGAGCTATGTGCCGGGTGTGGTTATACCGGGCTAAAAATTGAAATTATAATAGAAATATATTTACCAAGATAGTTATACATTTGTTTATGTTTAAAAAAAAAGATTTGATTTTAAATATTTACTTTTTCATTTTTTCTATTATAAATTGTTTAATTAAATACAATTTTTTACCGGCCTAAATTGTGTACCCTAATCAGAATAAAAGATTTTATATTTTACCATAAAAATCTATTATGATTGAAGGCTGAGGCGCATAGAACCAAAACAGCAAAAGTGTTTACAATTTTTATACAGGATAGGTAGGTAATTAAAGTTTTGATTATTTTTCAACATTTATATATACTATACCTAACTAATATTATTATTATTTCTAATAATAAATACAATTAAGTAACCAATACAGTATTTCCAGTAATTAAAAATGTATCAACAATATGTTGACTATAAGTTTTTAAATTTAAAGTGTTTTTGGTGTGATAGTTTATTAGTATAAACTTGGTTACACCACAGTCCACAGAATATATTAATTACTATATATTATTATGTGTTTAAAAGTTAATAAGTATGTTTGTAATTTTAGTTCCAGTTATGATAAAACAATTGTAGGGAATGATATTGTATTTTCAATCTTGGTCTATGATTGGGCTTAATTTTAATATTTTCCCCGGGCGTAAAAATTCTTAGTTCCGCCTCTGGGTATACAAGTTAATTTTCCGATTGCCAACACAAATAGCCAAATAGGTACCTACCACGAACTACCTAGTCCGTGGTACCTACTTTTTTTAATATTTTTGGGCTGGCGGTATTTTTGGTATACCGATAATTACCGGTATTTTCGATATTTCAGAATACCGGTATACCGTGATTAGGTAATTACCGTTATTACCGTATCCCGGTTATTACCGAAAATACCATATGGTATATACCAGAGTGGCAGCGTTTAGTATTTATTATTTTTATATATTCATAATGACATAATATAATATTGTAATTTTCGTTATCATATTATAAAGATACGTTTAAAAATATCTATGGATTAACATATAAGAGATAGTTGGTAGAATAACTATCTAGTTGGAGATAAATAAGATGAAAGTTGTATCTAGTTAAAAAATGAATTAATTTAATTTTCTAAAATTAAGTGAAAAAGTGTTGCATCTATACGTTCCTAGATATTAAAATGATAGAGTGATTCGACTTAACTTATAAGCTGAATAAATATTATTTATAACAAATATATTAATTAGTAATTATCATTTTTTGGTTTTTCAACTAAAACTCAAAAAGTAAGCTTGTGTGTAAATTTTTAAAATATAATATTTTACGTGTTACGTCGTAACATGAAAATTAAAAATGGTTTATTAATTACCTACATACTTACATAGTTTCACCCAATTAATAGTATCACTCGATAATATTATCGTATAATATCGTATTTTGTTTTTATGAAATTACAAAAAAAAAAAAAATACAAATCAACTGAACACCTTATTATAAATTATAATTAAACAAATATAGGTAACATACAACAATTAAATAAATGTTTTGAAAACACTCTAACAAATTAATAACAATAATACAATTATTGACACAATTTCTAAATAGGATACCTTGATACCTTCATTCTTTTCGCGTATGGCCGTGCGTATGGTTTATGTGCCTGGAAAGTCTCCTAATTACAACAAAAATATTATTTTTTCAATATTAATTATAATTAAAATTCACTACAATTAGCAAGCGGTATATTTCAATATTAATAATAGAAAGTATATTATTTTATAATCACAGTTCAATTTACAATAATATGTAAATTTGTGTTCAAAAGGCCGGAGTGTTCATAGATTCATAATAATTGAAAAATAACCGTGGAATGCCAATTTGTGTAGATTATATACAAAAATAGGTATGTAAGGTATGTTTGTACAGCTTCGGTGGTATATTATGGTTGTTTGGACGTATTAATTATACTCACAAAATGTTCCATTTCGGATTCTTTTATTTTTCGTTTATCGTCTAATGAAAAACCTTTTAATATTGCCACAATAAGGTCAATGGAATCATCCTAATAATACAGGTATAATATTGAATTTAATTTTACATCATATTAAGATACTAATTTCTGTTTTCCTTCCGTATAATATTAGTTCTTAAAATTGTAAAATAATTAAATTATAGACTCATTATATTATGTACTGGTCGGTTCATGATGATATTATCATAATTTCGTACCAATTAGACACCTTATAAGTTATGATACAGTTGTTGGTCTCAATAATAAGACTTAAAATTGCTGTGCACCACAAGTACCTGTTTAATATAAGAGCTTTGCGATTCGGTTGGATAATCTCTGAGTCGTAATAAATATTCCACAATTGGATTATGCTTTGTGCCAATCATTTTAGTCATCGGTCGAAAATTGTTCGACGGCCAAGACGTACACAGTTAAAATTTTTCCGGTAGTCTCCAGTATTTTCATCCGTTCGTTTATCTTTGACACGTTTTCATTACTGACTACTAACCAGGGTTGGAACGAAAAAGCCCACCCCTAAAAAACCCAGGCTGCTTTTCTGGGTTGAACCCACTTGATATTTTGAAAAACCCATAAAAAACCCGGGCTGCTTTTCTGGGTTAAACCCACTCATTTTTTTTTGAAAAACCCCATAAAACCCGGACTGCTTTTCTGGATAAAATACTCTTTTTTTTTTTTACCTGTTAATTTTCAGAAAAATTTTAGTCATAAATTATTTATTTATTAAATTGTTATGAAAAAAACCTTATTATTATTTTAATTATTAGGTAGGTACAAATAAAAGTATATAATAGAAAAAACTACACACCAACGGTCAATATAAATGTTAACAATTTTTTATTTTTAACAAGGTATTAAAATTTAAAATATAAAATAGGTAACTTTCCTTTAAAGTTTAAAATCAGTATGAATGCTAGAAGCTATAATTGGGTCATTTTTTATGGATGACCATCCATCTTGAACTAAAGTTATCGTGCATTCTTTCAATTGATCAACTAGCTCTTTTGACACTGCAG